CCTGTATGGGCGATGTCCAATATTCTTTTTAATAAATATGGCGGGTGCTTGCATTGCCAATAATCGATACATTTTCCTTTTCTTTTCTGGGGGTGGGTATACGAAGAATCCAATATTTTTCCTAGCTTTTTCTAAGACGGAATGCTTTGGGTTAAACAGAAACAAGGGGTGGGATTTGTTCCTAGTTTGAAACCAAGTATTCATTAACCTGGTGGTTAAGTTAGGTTATTTGCTCCGTAAAAATTTAACCATATTTTTTCTAGTCTTTATTCCATTTCATTTCGTTCAGGTTAACCTAAAAGCTAAGGTTAACTTGGATGAATTCGGTTAATATTCATCAACGTAACCCGTTTTGTTTTATTTGAAATTAGTCCAAATGGATTTTTTCTTGGACGTACGCATGTATGAATATATGAATATATGAATATTTCCGTTTTCCTTGTAGACTTTGTCACGTTGTTCTTGTTCAAACGCTTTGATAGCAAAAATAATTAATTATGTATAATCTTACTTCCCAGTAAAATACCCTTTCCTTCTCTTCTCTTCTCTTCTCTTCCCTCCCTCCCCTTCCCTCTCTACTCCATCGTTCCTACTCTCTTGACTTGTCTTTTATTACAGCAATAGTATTCAATTCCAATTCCAATTCGAATATCTACTTTGATTTCGATTTCGATTTCGATTTCGAAACTGTTTAAATCAAGAATGTAAACAATTTAAAGTCGAATTGTATATTTAATATTAAAATCTATATAGGATATATTGCTTGGTTAGGTTTCAACTGTAATACACATATATCTTTGCAAGTAGTCATACCATCGACACGTATCTATCTATATATATAAATATATGTATATATGTTTTGGTTATTAAGTTAATTGACATCTCTTAAACATGAAAAGAAATTCAATCTTAGCATATGACGTATTCACAAAGACTGAAGAGGACGTGAGGATCAGAACAAGAGTCGGGGGTATCATTACACTATGCTGTTTATCATTTACCGCAATTCTATTATTCTCTGAATGGATTAATTTTAATCATGTAATTACAAAACCAAATCTAGTGATAGATAGAGAACACCATTTAAAATTAGAACTAAATATCGATATCACTTTCCCATTTATACCTTGTCAATTGTTAAATCTAGATATAATGGATGATTCTGGGAACGTACAGTTGGATATTACAGAATCAGGTTTCACCAAGACAAGAATTGGCTCAGATGGCCAGCAATTAGGAACTACAAATTTTAAAGTTAGTGAAGATTTATTAGAATATTCTCCAAAGGACAAAAATTATTGTGGTTCATGTTACGGTGCAAGAGATCAATCTAAGAATGATGAAGCAGAGAGTGTTGATAAAAAAGTCTGTTGCCAAACTTGTGAGGATGTTAAAAATGCATATTCTGATGCAGGTTGGGCTTTCTTTGATGGTAAAAATATCGAACAGTGTGAAAGAGAAGGTTATGTTGAGAAGATGAACGACCAGTTAAATGAAGGATGTAGAATATCAGGAGAAGCTTTATTGAACAGAATACATGGCAATATCCATTTTGCACCAGGTAAAGCTTTCCAAAATCGAGGAGGTCATTTCCATGATACTTCATTTTATAATGATCATAAAAATCTAAATTTCAAACACATGATCGAACATCTAAGTTTCGGTAGACCAGTGGCACAATTTAAATCCAATAAAGACCTGGTGGCAATGACCTCGCCATTAGACGGCCACCAAGAATTACCTTCAATCGATGCCCATAATCATCAATTCATCTATTTTGCCAAAATCGTTCCTACAAGATTCGAGTATCTAAACAAACAAGCACAAGAAACATCACAACTAGTGGTCACATCACACATGAAACCAATAGGAGATGCAACCGACTATTCAACTACAATGAATAGTCGTCAAGGTATACCTGGATTATTCATAGATTACGAAATTTCACCATTAAAAGTGATTAACAGAGAACAACATGCGACAACCTGGTCAGGGTTCCTATTGAATTGTATAACAAGTATTGGTGGTATACTGGCAGTAGGAACAGTAGCAGATAAAATAGTACATGCCACACAACGTGTAGTGTCACATATTAACAATAAATAAGTTTATATATATACAAATATAAATATATATATTAATATCCATCACATCTTAATACGTCTTCGTCTTATCTTAAAAGTGTCTCAAAATTTAAATAAATAAATAAATCAGGATCCGGCACTATAAAAGGAAGAGCGAATTATAAGAACAATAATAATAAGAAAAACGCTTCCTTTACTTTTACATGTCACAATTAAGAGAAGCGGTATGGTGGGGTTGGGAGAAAAAAGTATGTAGTTTAAAGTAAAAGTACCTGTCATTTATATATATATATATTGGCATGCTTGTCTTTTTTTTATATGTTCAGTAGGTATAATGTTTCATATTTGAGCATTGAGGTATTTTATTATCCCATTCATATATATTGATTATCATTACTGTTTTTTCTTCTCTTTCTTTTAATTATGTGGTTGCCCCCACCCCCCAAATAACCGCCATAGTTATTGATCGTCTCTTTTTGCTTAGGTATGGGTGGCGCGAGTGAGCTCTCAACTGAGTGGCAATTGATTTGGTGGTTTGAGTGTGTGTGCCAGTTTTCTCTTTTTTTTCTCGCGTCGTGACAACGCGAGAAAAAAAATGAAAAACAAACATAGATATATTATCACGTGACCGGTTCCTTTTTGTATGAAAAACTGACTGATATGATAATTATCGATTTCCGGAAATTTCGATACAAGAGACCATGATGCCATTGCTGCAGCTATTACTGTTACTCTATCCTCAGGTGTTTCTTAACGGGTATATGTTCTCTCTGTCCTGTCTATTCTGTTGTTGCAGTCGTTTCTCTGGGATGACGATAATGATGATGTTATATTTTATTATAGGTTTTTTTTGCATTTTAACTTTCATTTTCTTCATTTTGGTTTGTTTGATAAAGTTACGTACAATTTAACTTTTCCTTCGAATCCAAAATTACCTAGGTTGGATATTTTTTTTCTTTGGTAATTTATTTTTAAATTTGAATTTATTTTATCATCTTTTCATTTTGAAGGATTGTTACATTGCAATTTTTACTAATTGATTCATGATTTGAATATTATACTGGTTAATGTTTTTACAAGCCAGAAAAAAAACACTGTACAGTTGGCTTAAGTTTAAACTCTATTAATTGGTTTTAAAACCCCTCCCGTCTTCTTTCAGTTTAGTGTTATAGATACTAACTGACATCTAATATAACGTTTATTCCATATTAAAATCAAAATCACATTATTCTAAAGGGATCTCACTCATATCGGAAATTCTACTATTCAATACTGGTTTGATATTTATATTCTTCTCGTTAATAATATATGCAAACGAATTTTTTAAAAATTATATTAAATTCGTATTACTAAAAAATTTATATATATCAAATAGATATATATATATATTGTCTTTTTGTTTTCTTTTTCCTATTCCTTTAATAATTGATTTAAGAAAATTAAAAGATTTTCAAGCATTACAAATTTAGTTGCATCAGATTCACTATTGCCAAATATAATAATAATTCATTATCTCTTTTTTCTTCTTTAAAAGAAAGAAAAAAATAAACAAGCATATCAACTTGAAATTAAGAAATTGGAAAAATTGTACGGGTTAATATATTCACTACTTCCCATCTTTTTGATCTTATCTCATAGATTCATTCTCAATTCATCACAACATACCTCATCTAAAAAAAAATCACAGTGTTTTGACTTAGTCTTTCCAATATTTCTTCATGGTACAGAATCAACTTTTTGATACATCAAGTATAGCCATTAGTGATGGCTCAAGAACTCCGTCAACGACAATTATGGTAAATAATCTAATGAACACAAACGTAACTGCCCAAGACTCATTATATCATATCTGTGTCACTGTGAAAAGAAGACTGGAGTCATTATCTCAATTAAAACCTTATCTAAATTTAGCATATTCATCAAGTGAACTTTTATGTGAAAGACAATCATTATTACTATCGCAAAAACAACAGCAACAGAAGGAATTAGGTCATCAGAGTTTAAATTCGACATTCGGCAATAATACACTAAATCAAAGAGATAGCCATAATGAGATTAGTCTTTCTAATGGTGGTAGAAGTAGTACAATCTCAAGTTCAAGCATGAAAGATGACACTTCACTAGATGGGGTCACATACGCAGCCTCCTCTGGTTTATCTTCAGTACAATCAACGTCTAATCCAAATTCAGGTCATAATGGTAACATAGAAGATACATTACTAACATTCAGTATGGGTATTTTACCAATTACAGAGAACTGTGATCCAGTTACACAATTATCGCAATTGTTTCAACAAGGTTCTCCACTTTGTATTATTTTCAATTCTGTCCAAAACCAAGTCAAATTACCAGTCGTCTCTTCAGATGATTTAAAAATTTGTAAAAAATCCATATATGATTTTATTTTGGGTTGTAAACAGCATCTAGCTTTTATTGATGAGGAATTATTTACAATTTCAGACGTTTTTGGAAATTCAACGAGTCAATTAATGAAAGTTTTAGATGTAGTAATTACTTTAATGGATTCTGCACCTGATGTATTCCCATCGACTATTAGTGTACTAAATGATGAAGCAAATTTTATTAACGAATCACAAAATTCAATCAAAAAATTCGAATCGTACAGTAAAATTATGAAAGAATTTGTAGCCACTGAAAGAAAATACGTTTTTGATCTAGAAATCTTAGAAAAATACAGACAACAATTGTTAGAGAGCAATTTGATTACTTCAGAGGAATTATATATGTTATTTCCAAATTTATCAGAAGCAATTGACTTTCAAAGAAGATTTTTAGTCTCTCTGGAAATAAACGCAAAGGTTGATCCATCAAAACAAAGAGTCGGTGCTCTATTCATGCATTCCAAGTATTTTTTTAAATTATATGAACCTTGGTCCATAGGTCAAAATGCAGCAATTGATTTCCTATCGAATAATTTGGAGCGACTCCAAGATACAGATTTCGTCATTAAGAATAAGCTGGAATTACAATCTTTCTTATATAAACCAGTCCAAAGGTTATGTAGGTATCCATTGTTACTTAAAGAGTTGCTACAAAGTTCAAATTTAAGTAATAATCCTAAGGAGCTTGAAATGGCTTTGGATATAGCAAAGAGTATAGCCAGAAGTATTAATGATAATCAGAGACGAACAGAAAATCATGAAGTTGTAAAAAAATTATACAATAGAGTTGTGAATTGGAAAGGTTATAGAATTGCAAAATTTGGCGAATTACTATACTACGATAAAATTTTTATTTCTACTAGCAATTCCTCGGAATCAGAAAAGGAATTTGAAGTTTATCTATTTGAAAAAATTATTATTCTATTCTCTGAGGTTACCCAAAAGAAATCTTCATCATTGTCATTAAAGAAAAAGCCAACAACTTCATCTTTATCCTTAAGTTTAACTTCTTCCCATTCAAGCTCGGCAAACCAAAATAATGATGGTGTGAATGAACCAAAGTTAGATTTAAGAGGAAGAATTCTAATCATGAACTTAAATAAAATCAATCCTCAAGGAACACATACTTTAAATATTACTTGGGAATCTCCAAAAGAACAAGGTAATTTCATATTGAAATTTAAAAATGAGGAAACAAGGGATAATTGGTCTTCATGTTTACAGTCATTGGTTCGTAATATAAGAAGTGAGTCATTTAGAAGCACAAGTAGCACGGGTGATAGATCATCGTTAACTTCACCAATTCAACATAAACAAGCACACAACAGTATGGCATCAATTAATAGTTCGCATGTGAAGCGTATTTCTGACATGCAACAAAAGAATCGTACATCATCATTTGGCAACGAATATAGATCTATATCAGAGAATTATAAAAGTTCGATTCCAGATTCTTCATTACTAATCCGCATTGCTTTTAATTCTGATTTTTATACAATTTTGATAGAGCTTGATGCTTCTATCGATGAATTATTGCAGACAATTAAGAAAAAGATAAGTCATTCAGGCACGGTTACAAAGATTAAATATCAAGACGAAGACGGTGATTATGTTATCTTAGAGTCCGAAGATGATTGGATTGTAGCAAAGGATATGTTGAAGGAAAATAATGATCAAATTTTGAATGTTTGGGCCTATGCTTAATCCATATTAAATTCTGGTCACTATATGCCATTCACGTTTTTTTCTATTACATCTACTTCAAATTTTCTATTTTTTCATATTATTCATTCCCTATCAACTTTGGACCATGATAACTATTACTAAATTTTCTACATTAGTTTGGCATGGTTTTTATACTCAATTAATTCTATCCCTTATGAAACCAAAATAAGACAAAATAATGATTACTATTCAGGAATAAAGACAATAACAAGACATTTGTACTGTCTTCCCTGAAAAATAATATATAGAGAAAGTATATAGATACGTAAATCCATTGTCTAAATGTAACAAAAATCATATCGCATTTTAAATCTATTAATAATATCATTATCGAATCAAGGAGTTTGATTATATTATGCCACGTATGGTACAATCTAACATCAACAAGAGATATATAAATTACATATATTTTTTGATGACGTATAGCAAAAAAGAAGCTCAACTTAAATTATAAAAACAATAAACCGTTAAATTACCCATTTAATTAAAAATACTATCCAGATCATCCAAAGTTATAGACTCTGGTGATTCAATATCCTCCGTCAAAAACCCATTTCTAACAGTCTTCATCCATGCTGATGGGATTATTGGACTGCTATCATATTGTGAATTAACTAAAGGATCTGTACTTGAATTGCTTTGATCTCTTTTAAACTGTGATTCAATTGGGGTTTGAGTAGAAATTATTTTATGTAATGCTGAAAGAATTCCAGCGGAATTTTGAGAAGTGTTCTTAAAACTATCCTTGGAGGCCTTTGATAGCCTTGGGGCAGCAGCAGCAGCAGTGATATATACAACTGGTGGGGACACAGTTGGAGCCTGCTCACTTCCAGGTACTTTAGTAGGATTAGGTTTAACCTTTTTAGTTCCATTTTTACTGCTATCTGATTTGACGTCATTCGAATCACTGGCGCCTGTCCTCTTTTTTTGATTATTGGAATTAGATTTTACAGATGCATTGCCTGGAGATGGTACATTGGCTGGTGCTGTTGGTGTTAAGCTTGCTGATACCGGAGATGTAGAATATGGAATATTGAATTCATTTCCGAGTGTAAAGGCTAAATTATTCGACATTCCAACTTTCTTACTGAATGAAAAGCTATCGTTTAGAAATTTATCATTCTGGCTATTATCAGAACTACCACCGTTACCCTTTTGGGAGTTAATTTGCTGACCCATTTGTTGCTGCTTTAATTGTACAGATGCGGCCTGGGCATGTTCTTTGTAATCCGGAGATAGAATACCTCTATATACATAAAGCATTCTTCTTGGAGAAGAATCAGACCACTCTCTTGATAATGCGTAGATTAAGGTCTTTTCCCCCTTTTCCAGCTTCTTTACATAAGCATTTAATTTTGCAGATATCAGATTAGAAAGTTTTGTTGACAAATTAGACATATCTGGATTCTTCTCTAATAGATAGTCACATAATTGTTTTACAGTCATACCTTGTTGATCTGGGTCTTTCTCCCATAAAATGATAAAGACAGTAAATAAGACTTCGTCATCTAACGGAGCAGACCTGTCTGATGGAATTGGTCTATCACCTGTGACAGGTATTAATTTAGAAATTTCAACAGCCGGTACATCTTTATCTTTTTTATTATCCTTTTTTGATTTAGGATTACTACTTAATTCTGATGGCGATGAAGAAGACATATTTGGGAATACGTCTGCGGCAGTTGCTGTAATCGGATCAGGTTTAGTGCTTAAACCTAAAGCACTGGCCTGGAAAACAGGAGATGTAGTGTTTAATAATATTTCATTATCAGTGGTGGAGGTAGGGATTTGAAACGGTCTTGGATTTGTTAAAGCCATAGTAATTTCAAATATATATGTATATCTTATTTTTCAATAGAAAATAGGGGAAAAATAATTGAAGAAAAAACTGAAAATGAATAATGTCTGACACTTGATGCAAATATGAATTGTTTTTTAAAAAACAAATTACTTTAAAATATTGAATAAATCAAAGTATTAAATCTTAATTTTAATTTTTTAATTAAATAACTATAGGAAAATTAATTAAAACCTCCAATATGTATTTTTACTTGAAGTAAAATGTATTAAATAGACAAAAAAAATTAAATTAAATGAAATAAAAAAAGGAATGTAAAAATAAGTGCTAAGAATAATAAAATATAGTTTCCAACTAAGGACTTGATTATATTATATTATTTTTACTTTATTTTAATCAAAGGTTATATTATCGATTCCTAATTTATCGGATAACTTTAACTTAATGATTAAGCACCTTATTAGTATTGTTATGAATTACTGGGTTCTGATTATAAACAGTTTTGTTTTTAGTCTTCAAACAAAATTTAAAATTAACTAATTAAGATAAATGATTGAATTTAGTCGTGACTACAAAACCCTAATCGTAACTTAATTTGTATGAATTCTTGAATATTTAAGAACACTTCTATCGTACCTTGCCTTACATTACTTTACATAAAATCAAAGTTAAAAAAAAAAAAAAACTGAAAAGTTTCACTTTTGAGAGTCATCGCGCAATTTTGAAAAATTATGAAAAAGTTGCGTGGGTTAGTCAAAAAACAGATTTAATCATCATAATTATTGATAAATACTAAACAAGACAAAGAGAGGTTTATAGTTGTATTGTCCAATGATAAGTTAAGTTAATTTAAATTACATGTTCCAGTGATTTTTCAGGAATGGAATATTTGATGATATCTTCTGCATGATATATGTAAACAAGATTCTAAATGAAGAAATTGGCCTCTTAAATAAAATATAAGTTTTACTTAAAAGTAAATGATTCCACGTATTCTTTTTTTCCCTATCTTCCAGTAGACTATTACTAAAGTAATACCAGTCACACGTAAACTATCGATCTATTCCTTATAGCTGGTTATAGTTACCCATGCACATTTCCCAATCTTAAAGAGATCATTGGTTTTTTAATCATCTATATATCTTAAAGGAAAAGTTTGATTTATCTACAGTTTTAACACCGTTGGGATTGCTGCTCAATCTGGATGCGACTGTCGATTCCTATTCTCGAAGTTTCAAAAACAGTTCACTATCTAGATTCCCTATTACTGATCTTTCATCTACATTTATAATCAAATTAACAGTAGTTTTTATATTGATAAACATAGATCAATATAAATGTGATGATAGTTGTTCTCAATAAATTAATCATTTTGAAAACTTTTGAAGGTTTTTTAAAGAAATTAAACAAAAAATGACAACTTTTTGAGGAATACACCCAGTCACCGCATATATAACCGCATGATTTCCCGTATTTTTAAGAAAAAAAAATAGTTGAAAAATCAACAGAATTCTCTAATTTTTTCTTTTTCGATGCGGAAAAACATACTAAAATTAGAAAAAAAAAGGAATAACTTATGGTGGGGAAGGGAAAAACTTTCCGCGTCCGGAAGAAATATAGAGAAATCGGAAAAACAAAGCTTCGATTTATTTGTACATCCATACTATTTATCCGAAACAGTCACTTGGGATTGGAAAACATACAACAAAAATTAATCCGAACAAAAAAAAAAGGATTAAAAAAAAAAAAGCACACACCAATGCGCCACAAATGAAAATAAGATAAATCTCAATTAGTGTCATCTGATCTTAGACGTTCTAAAGACTCCTTGGTTCTCTCGTAATCAGATAGCCAATATTTATCTGCGTTAGAGTATACATTGTCTATTTTGTCGCCATTTGGTGGTACAAACCAATAGTTTACTGCAACATGTATATGATTCTTGGTTTTTGTATTATTTTCATCACCATATGATGTCACTTCATGGAACCAACCAGTTGGTAGATACAACATTTCACCTGCTTTGATATCAACAGTAATTCTGTTTGCGTTTTTGAATAATGGCCATTTAACATTGATAACTTCACTCATTTCAGATCTTGTTCTCTCATCCGCAATCTCATCAATATGAACAAATGCCGGCGGGATTGTGGAAAAAGAAGGTGGGTCTAAGTATAATATATCTCTTTCAGTGTATTTAGATCCTTCTTCATTGTCTAACTCGATAAACTTCTCATATTTGGCTTTATCTGAGTCACTTAATTCATTATCTTGTTCCAAATATTTTTTATACACTTCTGCGACAATTGCACCATCATCTCTTAATTGCCTCCAGTTTGGTGCTTTACTATTTCTTACATAGTCAATAATACCCGAATTGTATATCTGTCTAATATCACCAACTGTATACATTTTAGCTGCATCACCTGGTGAGAACAATGTGAATCTTTTGTGCCCGCTAATTGGGATATAAATATTATCAGCATGGTCATGGTGTAGACCTGATGAAGAACCGTCACCTGGAATATTTCTTCCTAAGCCCATCCACTTGTCTGATGTATCCTTCTGGAAACTTTTAGCAAAGTCGATATTATCTTTTCTGGATGTAGCACCAATCCAAAGATTAATTTGTTGTGGGATAAGGTACTTTAAAAATTCAGGAGTCTCTGGTAGAGTCTTAGCAAGATTAATCATAGGAGGTTGGTATAATTCTCTAATACGTAATTCGTCTTCAACAATTTCATCTTCTTCATTTTCAAAAGGTTCCAATTCGTCAAAGTCGTCGTGCATATCTTTAATATTTATTAAAGAATCGACATCAGACATACTACTTTTAAAATTTTCATCAATAACCTGATCCTTTTCATCTTCATCACTTGAGTAATTACCATTCTCTGGATCATCTTCGTAATATTGAGTTGTCAAATAAAGGCCAGTTTCTTCCTTTTTAGTTAGGCTTTCCATAAATTCTTCAAAAGTCATTTTTAATCTTTTAGTTCCACTACCAAACCCACCATCCACTTTCTTCTCGATTTGTAGTACCTCTTCTTTATCCAAAAAATCAGTTACGTTTTCATATTTCAATTCATCTAATGGGAACCCTTTTGGAGATACACCTCTGATTTTACAAGGTTTTCTTAAAGCAACGTAATCATTGAAAAATTTCAATTGCTCCTCCTCAGTTTGAGGAACATCTATGACATCAATCTCCATCTTATGTTCCTCTGGATAGTAAGCTGTATACCGAGATGTCAACTTTGAGTCTAGATCCAAAGCTTTTTTAGAGCCATGGGAACCACTTGATTCATCAATTGTCTGTCTTTTGGCAACCATAATCGTTATATAATATGCAAGTGTATGAGAGTAGTAGACTTATGAGTAGTTTATCATCCTTAGAAATCATAGTATTCTATCAATGTATAATATTCCTTGATCATAACACATTTATATATAAGATGTTGGGCATCGAAGAATTTTTCATTTGGTAGTAAGAGAGAGAACCAAGTCGTAATGAAAATGCCAGAGAAATCAAAAAAAATTCCAGATGGGTAAGAAAACATCGTATATATAAGAAAATACGACAGCAAATATATGAAACAGCACACACATTCTTTTTAAGTTAACTGACTGATTCAATCAATCAAATACTCAAGTGCTCAAGAGATCACGTTCAATTCTAATTATAATCTTATTGATGCATTAAGAAGAGACACTTTAAAAGGTCACAATTAATGAATGTGTCTTTATTGTAAAAACATTCTAAGATTGAAAAATAATGGATAAGTTTGTTTTAACAGAGAAACTAGAATTTTACTTAGTGAGTTTTTAGTATATTTAAATTTAGTAATATTGCTAAAGGTATAAATGGTAGAAATTATATGCAAAGTTTGATAAATATAGATTAGTAAAATAAAATAAAAATTGATGGTGATGATAGTGATGATGGTGATGACAAAAAAATTGCAGTCCTTTTTTTTCACTAAACTATAATTTAATATCTGTTAGGGTTACGTTTGTAATCCATATCAGTATCAAAAAAATCAATATCCATTGAAGAAGATGATCTTTTGATATGTCCTTTAACAAAAGTTCTAATTCCTGAACTAGCAGGTATATTTACTATTGGATTTGATCTTGCACTTGCTTGATTATCTTGTTTAGAAAAATTATTGTTATTATTGATTGAATTTAGTGTCATTAATCTCTTTTTCTCACTAGATTTGGTATCGACTTGAAATAATGTTGGAGTTGTTGGAGTTAATGGTAATAACAATAATGAATTTGGCAACAGTGATGAAGTGGAAGATGATATTTCTTTATCAGATTCTGCAGTCATAGCAGAATCCGGAGATGCAAAGGTTGAAATTGCAGAAGAGGAAGTTGAAGATGAAACTGAATGAGGAGAATTGTTAGTAATATTAATATTACTGTTATTGTAATGTTTGTCATTATAATTACTATGATTACTGTAAATATTCATTCTTCCCTTCATGCAATTACTAGATGAATCTTGATTTGTTTTCATAAATTCGTTATTTGAATGCATAATATTTTGATCATTAATTAAATTATCATTGATTGAATTTGCCAAATTGTTAAATTCTTGAGAATTGTAAAACTCTTCAAATTGCAATTGCAAATAATAATTTGATAAAGCTGTTAATATTTTATTTCCGTTATTCAAATTGGTGTTGGTAACAGCAGCTGTTGTAGAATTTTTTTGTTGATCGTTCAAATACTTAAATTTAAAAGAAGATGGGAAAGCATCCTTATCGGTAGCTAAAAATAATAATTTATCACAAATCTTATTTAAATTGGCATCTTTAGAATCAACATGATAATTTTCCCAGTTATTTAAATCATGGAAATTCAATGCTAAAGTAATTAATGTAATTGAAGCCAATGCAATTGCAGATGAATTATAACTAAATGATAGGTTCAAATCAAAGGATGCTAATTCTGCTAATAGGATAGCTCCAGATTTAATTTCATTTAAATTTAAATTTGAGTTTTTCCAATAAATTGGATTTAAATTTTGACTGCTATTATTATTATCGATAACTAATAATAAATCAATAAAATAATCAGTTGTTGGATTTTGTAAAATTGACCAATTCAATGAAGTTAATAGATGCCATTCAATTTCTTTAAATTGTGTAGGAGTAAATTGATTACAACATAAACTTGTTAAAATGTTAAAATTTGGAATTTTATTTTTGGAATCCCAATATTTTGATGAAATCCATAATGCAGTTAAGGCAAACAATTGATAATTGTTACACTTGATAATAAATTTGGAGGAATATCTATTCAATAAATCAATGGTTAAAAACAAAGTTGAAGATGATAACTTTAATCTTGTGTGACAACAAATTATGAAATCTATGATTAAGTTTCTCATTTTGTCGTTGATCTGTGGTTGAGCTTTGAAGTTATTAATAATTAATGGGTATTCTAAATTTGTCGAATCTTCTAATCTAATTAAATGGTTTAATAAAGATTTACTGTATTCTAAGACGGAGATTCTATGAACATTGAATTGATTTTTTAATAGACTTGGGTTAGCAGCTTTTGATCTAGCAACATTTCTTCTTATATGGGCCAAATGGTGTAAATTTGGTAAGGAATCGACGACCTTAACATTATCATTGTTAATAATTGTAGTTGTTGAAACATTCATGCTATATTAAAAATATGGATTGATATGGAAAGGGAATTGTGTGGAGTTTATGCGTGTATATGATGAATTGTAGATAGGTGTACGTGTAGATAGGTTGGGATGATTCCTTTTAATCAAACAGAGTTGGGATAAATAGAATGGATCAGAGATAAAAGTGAGAATATAAAAGAGTAATATATCTCTATGCAATTAAATAAAGATGACTAAAAAAGTACAATAAAAATAGAAAAAGCTTTAAAATGATGACGAATAATAATGATTGGGAAATTGAAGAATAATTATTCTGATACAGATTAAATTAAATTAAATAAAAAAAAAATGGTATTATTAAATTATGCAGTAAATTTAAGGTACTTTAATATGAGTGAATGAATAGATTATACAATAAAACACACAGCGTCTGATTTAATCAATGGTATTAGTACAAAAATGTCATTGATCTATTGATCCTGATAACCTATGTAAAGATAAATGCAAATTTAACAAACCAATAATTACAAATGATGGAAACTAGGAATATCATTTACATTAAGTACCCATCCATAACTTCATTTATATAATATAATTTTAAAGGATTTTTAAAATATGATCTAGCATGAACTTCAAGGGCATAAGAAAAAAAAATTTAATTAACCAACTGGAAAGTGTATGCATTGAGGGCATACAAAATTACCATTAACAGTAAAGACGAGTTCTAAATTAATATGAGTAAAGTAGTACTATTGTTAGTTAACCACATTTTAATTAATCAACCTCAGGCTCGATTAGTCTATAGAAACTTTCAGTAACAAGAGGTGAAAAAAAAGTTAAGCTGCACTCATCATAATAAGGATAAGAGGTAGAGGTGAGTAGGTCAGTAGGTGTATAGGATTCAACAAAGAAACAAGGTCTGAAAACCTATAATTTCCCTTGTGATCTTAGGGAGAAGGGGAAGAGCAGATAGAGCACACACCACCGTTAACAGTAGATTACAATTAATGAAAAAGTATAATGAGGTCAAGGAAGTTACCAAATATGAGTATAATCGGTATAAGCAATAAGCGTTAGAATGATGAGGCAAGGTTTAGGTAAAGAGAGAAATTAAATTGGGTGGTGGGTTTAGCAAACAAGAAATTGCCAGCAAACCAGATAAAACATGCATGCACATATACATACATACACTACAGTTGTAAAATGGAATAAGATGAACTGAAAAAAATCCTAGACACTAGAAACTGGAAAATAGAAATAGAAATAGAAATAGAAATAGAGCATCACCGCTATCATCATTATAATGATAATAATACTACCTATCCTGGCTAAAAGGTATAATTTGATATTTTTTGATTCCAGTGAAAATTGAAGTAAGAGATATAATAGAGTAGATTAGAATAACTAAACTTTCTACAATAAGAAAAAATATCAAATAAAATAATATAATAAAAAAAAAACGGTATATAGAACCATGCAAGATTATTTAAAAAAACAGCTATTTCTGATTGCTTGCTTGCCCTTGTTGCTCGTAATCAGATCCAAACCCTGTATTACAATTATAATTACTATTGCTATTGCTATTGCTATTGCTATTACTGTTGTATTAGCACATCTTATCCCAACCCTCCCCTTCCTCCTCAGCATATTGAAAGCAGTAATAAAACTTTGACTAGGTTAAGAATACTGTTCTCAGCAACCAAACTTGAACCCAACCCAACCCAATTCAAACAAGTGACGTTTGATTTATCTAGAAGCAACTCATCCAGTACACTGGCTAGTGAAAAAAAAAATTTCTTCTTTCTTTCTTGTCTTCTCTTGCATCTGCACCAGTGGATTGGTTTGATTGAATTGGATCCTCTGGCTCTGGTTTAACCCAGTAGGTAACTAATCTATCTGCAACACCTACAACTACAAGCAATCATAAGAAGAGTTCCATGGTTAGGTATTGGTTTGGTTTTCAATTTAGTTAAACTTTTTTTTTTTTCATTCAACAGCTTGGTTAGGGTCTCTTCCACTACTGGACCAACACTTACTCTTGCCCTTGGTTTACCATCTAGCTCTGTATATCGACTGAACGGTCTAGGCTGATCTGGTATAATGCTCTTTTCCAGTTGTTCTGTAGGTTTACGTGTAGGTGTACTTGTAGTAGGGTTAGGATCACTGTTATCACTGCTACCAGTAGGTTTCTAAGCATCTAAGACCTATTTCACTTGAACTTGTCAGTATTAGCGCAACATAAAAATGGAAGAGACTAAGACCAGCCAACTAACGGATGAGATAGGGTGAGATGGAATAGAATAGCATAGGCTTATCGGAAGAAGTATCAGCTGGGCAGAGAAAGGCCCAGCCTTGGTTAGAAGCATAATTCAGTGTAAATTAAATTTTATGAGATTGAGGTGGTTAGCTATACCCACACCATGGTCTTGCATATTTCAACTGAATCGGTGGATAAGATCCCGGTAATGAAGCTACTAAGCATTTCTTTTGACCAATTTTTTTTTTATTCTAAATTTAAACTGAGCTAGAAAGTGGGTTTTATACACACACATACACACAGGGATAAAGAGATATAGAGAGAGAGAAAGGCAACAATTTGTTGCTGATGGTATATAAATTACTATACTGTTTTAGGAATATTAAGTTGTATCTTATGGTGTTGTATTGCAATGTATTCTCTTTTGTCATGTTTCTTGGATAACACGTTAGTGGTGTACTTTATCTGTTTCTTGCTAGAGGAATTCACACATGCAAGATTGATGCCTAATACTTAATACTTAATACTTAATGCTGTTCAACTATTCCCGGTAACGTTATTATACTTATAGCAGTAAAAACAAGATCAAGAGTAAAAAATTGAAATTAATAGTACTAACTAGGACAAGGTTAACTATTAGAACTTACTTATTATACTGGAGTGAGTTGAAATCCAGAGGTTTCATTCAGCACTACAGTATTCTGTTTGGTTTAGGTCAGTTTCCCACACTGGGGTGTGAATCTAACCCATCTATATATCGTTTATCTTCAACTACTTTGAATCAAGACACGATTCTTTGCTAGCAAGGAATATAGCTTGCTACCCATCTCTCTATATATACCCATAGCTTTACTTCCACGTATTATGTTTTGTTGGTTTTATCAATTTTATCTTAACAGAGAAACTACTTCAACTACAACCAGATTGAGTATTGTATCAATAGATTCCCCTTGGCACTTACCTTTTTAACTATTCCACTTGTAGAATACTATGACTCCTGACTGCGTAAACATATATATATTACTGATTTTGTTCAGGCATTCATTTTACATGGCAATTGCTTACATGAATTGCACTATGTGTCTGTCGTAAGTAGATGTTGGAAACGGATGGTTAAGTGGTCCTCTCTATCCTTTTCCACTGCCACCGGTTTTTAAACCATTTGATCAATCAACTTCCAATTGGGTAATCTTGGATTATTTTGGGTTATCATAGATACTATTATAAATTCCAAATCTGGCAACTCGTAACAAGAGTTTCATCTTCTGACAGATTTCCTAATTTGGGGTAGGCCAGTTTATCCTATTTGGATACTCCAATTGACTATCCATCCATATTAGGTTGATTAATAGGTTACCATATCTGCTCATTGAATAGCCAATTCCTAGTTTGTCTAAAATATTTTACTACTGTTGATTATGACGTATTTTGTTCTTATTCAACTTATACCCAACTTCTTAGAAGAGAGTACTTGAAGGTTCAATATGCATTGACTATAAGCAATACAACCTAGCCCAGTAATTGCTCCATCCTTCAATAAACAATGAATGGATGGATGGATGGTTTGTTGGAAACTGAGGATGCCTTTGTTTTCATTCGATAACAACATTTACAACTCTTTGGTAAAAGTTTCTATATAGTGTTTTGTTTTACTACATCCGATTCTCGAAATATCAAGATTTTATCGCTTTAGTACCCTAAGACTCAGATTACAGCCCTCTTTTACTTCTGGATATATCGTAAGATTATTTATTACACACCTATGATTCAATGGCTGATTAAAAATAATTGAAACATGTTTTATTTACTACTGATAAAAAGCAACAAATTAGCAATATTAAAATTTCAGTGACTGCACGACGATTGATTGATTATTCGAGAAGGTTATTATTTATTAAAATTCTGAAACATTTAAGAATTTATAGCATCTCTTCTAAAAATTATTATCATCTACAACTATTACTTAGCCAGGCTGATAAATTAATGTTTACAAACAAAGCAATTAATGTTTGTTTGTAAACAAAAACAATTAATTGCCCTCATCGTTTCTTGTTCAATTAATGAAGATGTTGTATTAATACTTATCTATCTTTAAGCAATTGGAAAACATTTTGCAATTGGCTAATTATATTTGTCAAATATATCTATCTCATTCCAAATAAAATGGATATCAGATTTTATTAAAAGTTTATCACCATATATCCGTTGTCTTCAATGAGGTCTGATAACTATTAGCACTATATTTCATTGTATCTCCGAATTATAAGACATCTGCCATTTCACTAAATATTATAATTTTCATTTCCTCCTAATCATATAATTTTGAATAAAATGAAACTACAAACGATTCTTATCAGCTTTTTAGATATGAATAAAAATGTCAAATAGTTTGGGTTCACATTTGAATTAATATAACACTGTTTTAGGTGAAATGTATTTATCAAATAGCTATTGGATCTTGCCGTTATTCGATTTCATTAATCGTTTTGAATGTTTCATAATTAGTCGGTCAGAAATACCTCTTAGACTAATATAAAAGCCTTTCTGGATAAATATGAAGTACTTCTTTTGTATAAATATTGTAATATACTCAATATTTAAATGTTTTGGTTGAAAATAAAAACAAGAACTTATTCTTATCAATTATTAAGATATTCCAGAATCGTTAAATAGTGCAAACGACACAATGACATTTCATCATACTTTTTGAACTTAAATTGAATAGAAATCATAAGATATGTATCGAGTCTTAAACTGTGAAGTATTTGGGTTTATCAGATTACGTATGGATATATTAAATACCTAAAAAGAACTAGTAGTGTTGCGCCAGGCACACTATTATGACGTGATCTATAAATTATAATGCATTGGTAACACTAGTTGAAGATTTCAATTTTAGATGATACAGATAAAAGTTATGCCATCAAATAATTAATTTACTATCCTTTATATTTATTATGGCCGTAGGATCTCTGCATGTTTTCTGCAAAAGATTTAGCTTATCAAATTCTCCAAATTCGATATATAATTGTGCTAAACCTTCTATGGCACATTGTTGTAGCTTCAAGTTATTATTCTTATTGTTCTTGTTATTTATAATTTTTATCATGTGATTAACAACTGTAGTGGTTAATTCGTTCTTATAATCATGCATACCTTTCGAAAGTGCTATTGGTAGATGTGACATCATTTTTAGTGCCTGAATTCTCATTAAATTATAACCTTTCAATAGTTGCATGTTAAATAATTTTGCAAATACACCTGCAAAATTGAAAGCTGGGTCAACTGTAATACCAGATTCAAACAATCTTACCCAAAATTGTAAATAGGTTACTGCAACCTTACCAAGATCTCTGCCTGATCCATTATTTTTTGAGGATTTTGGACAATTATTATTTCTATATTCTTCAATTTCCTTTGCAGTTGGAATTATTCTAATCAAATTATTGCATACTTCTAGCCTGTCCAAATCTGTTTTCAAAGAATAGTAATATTTCAAGAATTCATCAATTGCAGATTTTATTTGGGTATCAGTTGAATGAATAGCTCCACCACTCATAAGATACCCTTTCCAAAATTCCTTGTTTGTTTTATCAAAACAGTCATCATAAAATCTAAGAATCAAGCCATCAAAGTTTAATTCAGGATCGAATTTATAATCATAATGTTCAGAAAGGATTTTAAAGGATAAGACTCTTAGTTCTGTTTGAGGCTCACCCATTAATCTTAGTAATTTATCAATAATTGATTTGGTAAGATCAGGAAGATTATTAAAAAATAAATTCGGATTATTACCAATCAACTTCACAGCACTAATACGTACCAATCTGCCTACATCACCTTGTTCTGTAATTGTATAATCATCAAGAAATTCAGAAATCTTCAACAAGACAGGATTTCCAGTTTTTTCAATGACTAATGGAAGGTAGTGGCCAAGTGATTCTAGAACAGTTGAGATACCTTGGCAGTCTAAATGAGGTAGATATTCATAGAAATAGAGAATAAAGATGTCCTCTTTCAATGCAGGCAAAGATGAGCAAGCTAAGGAAACGTTGAACTTTAACATATTCTGATACTCTGCCCAAAATTTACTGTGCGTTTCTTCTAGCTGGAAAGAAATCACTGTTGAGGATTCAGATAATTTCTTTAAGATCTTCTGAAGATACCCTTTAATGGGTTTAAATGATTCGGATTTATTAGATATACTCCTTATTATATGTATCAAAACTGTAGCACTTGAATCATTGAACATAAACTCATTGGGATGAAAATATAATTTTAGAGACCAATATTTTAATATGGTTAAAATTCTAAAAGATTCCCATGGGTCATCTGCATTTTTATGCTTCTTTAGAGTTAAAATATCGTGTACATCCTTATCAATTACCATATGGAAACTTTCCCATTTTAATAAATCATGAAGTTCAGTTAAGAAATAAACAAATCTTGTATTTGAAAGCTGGGATTCATTTTCAAACAAAAAAGTGGATCTTAAATGAGCTAAACTCCAATCAGCTGCCTGATGTCCTCCAACATTAATTAATTTTTTTATTGCTTCGATATTTAGTTTCACAATTTTTACATCATAATTCCTAGTAATATTGAAGGTAACCATCCAGTTTAATATACGCTTCCAAATATTCTCATATTTTTCACTTAATAAGTAATATAACTTGATAGTATTTTCCATAAAGGATTCTTTTATATCAGTAATGGGTAATTCAATAAGTCTCAAAACTGTGACATTATCTAAAATCAATTTACCATGGCGTCCTAAAAGCTCTTGTAATGCAGCAGAGGCAGTTTTTCTTATTAGCAATTCTCTATCATAAAGTGAACTTAGTAAAAGGGTTACAAATAAATCCTCCACTATTGGGATCGGTAGGCTTTTGCTTCTGGCTAATGACCAGCATATATAATTTGACGCATCTCTGATATGGGTACCTGTAATCTGATTGAGACGTTTCTGTTGAAATTTTGATGATTTATACAAAATGTTACTTGAGATCGATTGTAAAACTCTGAGATTATCAAAATTAACTGTGTTAGCTAATTCTGCTATTATTAGAAGTGTAGAATGTAATTCATCAATGTCAATACTATCCCAATCAAACCCAGTTAGCATTTCAGTCGTATGCTCAATTCGAGATTCGACCAACACATCATACATACTATCATTTTTTTGATCTTTTATTAAAAATCTTGCAATTTTACCATATGAATGTGTTATGGAGAATCTGAACTCTGTGAATGGCGAATCTAAATGGTAGAGTATCCACACAAGTATCCTTTCGTTAGAATCCCAATCATCAAGGAAATAATAGATTTTAAAAAGCTTTGGCAATATTTTCACTACATTGATAGCCTTGTATTCTGAGGTTAGAATCCCTTCATCATCTAGGCATATAGATGTTATCTCATCAAGTAAATTTTTATCCATAGATACATACTGCCTCTGCGGTTTTCTTACGAGTAATTTCAAGTATGAATTTATTACACCTGTATCTTTAAATATCTCATTATATTCCCTAATTAAATCATTATTTTTCATAAATAGCTCTGACATTATTCCACAAACAATAGGATAGAATGTTTGATTATTTAAAAAGGTGGAAACTATCATTACAATATGATTATCATTACCAAGTTTAAACGGGGCCATAGTTAAAAGATGCAACCAAGATAGTATCATATACAAAAATTGCCAGTTATCATTAAAATTCCTATCACAATTCTCTAATAGAGTTAAAAGTCTTGGTAAAAGATAAATGTCAGTACTGAGATGGATATTTACCTTTTTCAACTTACAAACTTTTGCAAAATGATAGAAAACTTTTGATACTCTAGTCTGATATTCAAAGTCTTTTTCAAAAAATCCTTCACTAAGATATCCTAAATATACAGGTAATCGATAGTATAATGCGGTAGGATCATTTTCGAATCTATCGATATTCTTAATAGTTTCTTCTAGATCACTTGTAACATCTTTGCATCCAAATTCAATAGCTTGAAGTTTCTGGTTTTTAGTATCTAAAGACATTTGTCATACAGAATCCTTTTCCGATTTCATGTACTATTAATCGTTATGGTCATAAACTAATATTGGATATATATAAGCATCCTAGTAGTAATTTAAACATTATCAATCTTGTTTAGTCGCTGTTTATTAATTAATATGATGCTTAAAATTGCATCATCTACACTTTATTTCTGCTGCTGCCAAAAAAATTCAAGAAAACATCTGATCTCTTGAAAAGCGAAATCTTATGACGTCATTACCCAATTTCGAAAAAGCTGATCGACGCAACAGTCGAACCAGATTGTAAAAGGTACTTGGAATTTAGATCATTCTAAGTCACTTTAACCAAGTATATAATAACTAGTATTATAAATCAGTTGAGTGGGGTAGGGATATTTGATATTTGGTATTTGACTCGCAGGAGAATTACGTATTTACAATGAGGGGAAAAATATGTGGGATATGAATTGAAATTTAACAACAAATTCTTGGCTTATTGCTTTGATAACATTGATATATATTTGGATTGATGATCATTGCAACAGGATATAAACTACATCAATTGAACTAGATATATTTAGAATCTACATTTAGTTCAATGATGTTTGTCCTTATGTAAAAGTGTAGAAAGGTTTAGTCGTAAAATTCATTACCTTATTGTCTAAAGTGTCTAATTATTAAATCAAGTCATACGTTTGTTGGAGAGGATAATGGATATATTCTGATTTCTTTTATCCCAGTAACTTACGAACAACAAACAATCATTTTACAGCAGTTCATCTCCTCGTTATGCAACAATTGAGATTAAATCGTAGTATTTGTCGCTGAGAAAACGTCAAGGTTACTTTATCTTCATTGTCGGTTTTTTTAGGCATCTCCTTGAGTTATAAAGTTCAAGAAATTGTTGCCAGAGGTGCAACAAGTGATTAAGTCAAACAAAAAAGCAAATTGATTATTATTTGATGTCGAAATTTTTACCGGATTACTCTCTTGAAAAGAGTAACAAAGGTGACTACAACTTCTTAACCGTCATTTGTTGCATTAACTTTGTAATGTAAAAAAGGAAATATTTTACTTGATAAAAACAAAATGCAGCAGGATGTCAATTTTGAGGTTTATCGTTATTTTTAATACTTGTTGACTCTTGGCTGCATTTAACCCTTTGATAAGTGGAGGTTAAATAGCTAAGTATTGAAGTAAACCTATCTGTATGCTTTTCTTTCCATTCGGTTTGTAAAAATGCATTACTGTGAGAATTTGTTGTAGCCGTTTTCCCCTGTTAATGTCATTTAACAAAATAACTTGTCATGATCAGTTATTTGTTTAATTCTGTCTAGCTGTTTTAGCCAACTGTTACTTTCTGTTAGAAGTGTTCCTGCAGATAAACATGTAATTATTGCTTCTTAATTCAAAATAAATCAATTTGATGCAAAGTGTCAGTATTCTTTGATCTCAAATGTAATGACCGAGGTTCACATCTATAGTAAAGACGACCTAATAATAAGAGCCAAGAGTGATTTTTTTACAGATAAATATATCAATAAGCAAGATGGAGAGTTTTATACATTAATTTTGATATTTCAGATTATAATGGTTACTTACTGACCACTTTTTTTCTGTTGAGACTGTGGATAAACGGAAAATACTGTAGAGGTTCAATAACATATCAATACCACCCACCCTTTTAAAACACAAGCAGTTGTCAACACTTTTGATCTAGTTAGAAAGAAGGACAATTAATGATAGCTTTAAATTTGCCACTATTTTGTTCCTTAAAATTGTTTTGCCAAATATATTTTTATTCTATATGAATTCTTGTTTCCAATTAACTATATTGAATCTCAGTATCGAAAACTTATATAAATCAAGTTGCTTTCTCGAAAGACTATCAAAATACAACCAAATTCCATTTATATATTGTGTAGGTAATAATATATTATTTAGTTCACTTGTTGATGAGTAAAAACCAAAATTGGGAAGTCATTTCTAAACCATGATGAGTACAATATCTTATCCCAGTTACTCGAAAGAGGAGGAGGAAAAGAAAACTGTTTTCGATAATAGACAAATATTGATCAATGAATTAGATTTAGAGTCGTTGACTAGAGAAAAAATTACTCGATCTGATTCTTCATCTGAAGTTGAGGCAGAAGGCAACGGTAAGCTTAAACAAGGTTTAAGCTCACGTCATGTTCAATTCATTGCTTTGGGCGGTACCATTGGTACTGGTTTGTTTGTTGGTACGAGTGTCACTTTAAAGACTGTGGGGCCAGGAGGATTGGTTATATCTTATATTATTATATCCACTGTAATCTACCCTATTATGAATGCATTGGGGGAAATGGTCTGCTATCTACCTGGTAATGGTGAGGATTCTGCCGGTTCTGTAGCTCATCTTGTTGGAAGATATGTTGATAAATCACTGGCATTTGCTACAGGTTGGAATTACTATTATTGTTTTGTCATATTAGTCGCTGCTGAATGTACCGCTGCTTCCGGTGTTGTCACTTATTGGACGACATCTGTGCCAACAGCTGTTTGGATTACAATATTTTTAGGTATCGTTACATTACTGAATTTTTCTGCCGTTAAGTATTTTGGTGAAACAGAATTTTGGTTTGCCAGTATTAAAATTTTATGTATTTTGGGATTAATTTTAGTATCGTTCATCTTATTTTGGGGAGGTGGTCCTAGTCATGTTCGCTTAGGATTTCACTATTGGAAAGACCCTGGGACTTTTGCCCATCATATTACTGGGGGTTCATGGGGGAGTTTCTTGGATATCTACACTGGTATTATTAAAGGTGCATTTGCATTTATTCTTGGTCCTGAATTGGTGGCTTTAACCAGCTCTGAATGTAATGATCAGAGAAGAAATATTGCAAAAGCTTCAAAAAGATTTATTTGGAGATTAATGTTTTTTTATATTCTAGGAACACTGTCAATTAGTGTCATTGTTGCTTACAATGATCCAGTCTTACTTAACGCATTAGAAGAGGGCAAGGAAGGTGCAGCATCTTCTCCGTTCGTTATAGGAATTCAAAATGCAGGGATTAAGGTATTACCACATATTATTAATGCATGTATTCTTTCAAGTGCGTGGTCTGCAGGTAATTCTTTTATGTTTGCTAGTTCAAGATCGTTGATGACAATGGCACACAATGGGAGTGCACCAAAGATTTTCTGCAAAGTTAATAGATTTGGCGTACCTTACTATTCAGTTGGTTTATCAGCCATGCTATCATGTCTCGCATTTTTAAATGTATCTTCATCTACCGCTCAGGTTTTTGATTGGTTTTCGAATATTAGTACAATTTCGGGTTTTTTAGGTTGGATTTGTGCAATCATAGCTTATTTACGTTTTAGAAAAGCCATATTTTACAATAACATGTACGATAGATTACCATTTAAAACCTTTGGACAGCCATATTTAATTTGGTATTCCTTACTAGTTATTAGCGTTATTACATTAACAAATGGTTATCAGACATTTATTCCCAGGTTTTGGAGTGGATCTGATTTTGTTGCTGCCTATATCACTCTTCCATTGTTTCTGATCTTGTGGGTTGGTCACAAGTTTTGGGCTAGATATAAACATGCAGTTCCCTTATTAAAATTATATTATCCAGTTGATGAGATAGATGTAATTACTGGATTGGCCGAAGCTGAAGAAGTGGCAGAAAAACTAGATATGAATAGAATCCCCCCTTCTACGTATTGGGGGAAATTCATTAATTGGTTGTTATAACCTCATTCATATAATATGAAATTTTTATTTTAAATATTAAATATTCATTTTTATACTAAAAGCATTTTATGATTTGTACAGCACTTTAAAGTTTGGAAATGGGGTTACTCTTTCAAAAAAATGATAATTATCCTAATTACATAACAATTAGTTAACTTTTTTCAATAATAAAAGATCTAAACCCCCTTTCAAAGATTGATATAGATTATGAATTGAACTTCTATTATATATATTTATGCAAAATCCTTAATGATACCATAGTAAATCATTCTAAAGAGATTCAATTCTAATAGAAGATATACTAACTCACTGACAAACAAACCTAATTTGAATCCTGCTCTTGATACTCATAGTGAGAACAATTTATATAGTTCAAGACTGATAAATACTAAGATGATGGAATATTTGATTGCTCCTGGTACACTATTACAATATTAGTAATTGGCGGATTCTCAAGTGGTGGAGTTGATGCAGTAGAATCTTACAATACCCTTCATATAGTTCGCAATGTAAACCTTAAATAACACTCCTGTTATAATATTTCTTTTTTTGTAATTTATATTGTGTTACTCTATCTATTTGATCTTAAGATTTTAAAATTGATATTCGGTTTCCTGACTTATTTATAGCGGCTACCTCAAGGTTAGTTACCCTACTCAATCGTTTTTAGAGCAATACAAATTGGTAAACACGCGATATTCACATGATCCGAGTTGTCTACGAGACAAATACATGTACCTTTTTACGGAAGTAGTCTTCCCTATCAATAGTAGCCTTCTCATTATTTTACTAAAATTTTCTTCCGCATAAATAACCCAAAGCGGTGATATAACCAGATGGAGAGAGAATGGGTCAACGTCATTTCATCATAATATGTTGTAGTTATGTTTATCTCTCATAGTAATGAGAGATAAAATTAAAAAAAGGAAAAAAAATACCTATCAGCAAGGCATGGTTGGGCAGCAAAGTCAAAGCCTTTCCCTCAAATAAGGTAGCCAAATAAGGAAATTGACTCGTCAACAGACACTAAATCGACTGTAGTATTGGACTGCCTTAAGCCTCGCCTGAGCCTTGCCGGAAGTCGGGTAACATAATGTGATAGTCCTACTATGTATTATTTCATAACCCTAATTATACTTTTGTACGATGTATATCCAACACTGACACACCTCTCTATTGTCCAAGTAATACCCTCTTACTGAATGTAATTATATTACCAGCGGTTGTCTCCATTCCTTTGCCAATTAGTCCTATTTATTCCAAGTGTAATTTATGACAAGAAATGTCATTCTTGGTACTATATTTGTGACGTTGTTGCATCGCAATAATTTTTACCAATTAGGTATGAATGTACCTCCATTAAAATGAAGGTGATCTAATTTATTACACTTTTATGTTTTGAGACGCTTTTGTTTTTGCAATGTTTGTATTGAGACTTTCAGTTGGAGCTTTGATCATTATCCAGTTACTTTTATATAGAGATCTAGACGTACATTCAGAAAAAAATATTGAAAAATACCAAATTATATTTTAAACTATTAAAAGTGAAGTGCTTCACCTTAACAAACACGAAAGAGAAGAGCTTACAATAAGATAAGTTCAAACATACAAATTAGTTAGTTGAATGCCGACTATCAGTAACAATAATCATTGTCTGACCAAGAACTAACTAACTAACAAAACGATCGAGTTTACAAGGGAAGATGAAATCATTACATTATCAATATAAGAAACATGGCCACTTCAAACCTAAATCTAAATATGTATGGACCTTTCGAAGACAAACCTTGAGTTGAAGTCCTTTGGGATACGAGGAAGACAGCAAAATACTTGAGATTAGGTAATTAAGGTAGATAAAATTGATAGAATTGATGTATTAGGAGCTGTGTCTAAAACTGAACACTGTATGCGTCACTAAATACTCTGACGTTCCAAACCCTAGTTGTCTACCCTGTATCACATGGCCTTTGTGTGTGGTGACCTCCAACTTGTCCTAAAATCCTATTCTCTTGGCCTCATATTTGACGCCATTTTAGAAACTTTGACCTTCTGGCTACCGTTTGGCTGCCTCGATTCTGGTCTCGGGTCCACTGAAAAAAGCGGGTACCGAATTACCTGTTCATGCATATACAATCAACAAAGCAATTAAAGACATAATGACACGAATCACAATAACCCATATAACAACGATTATGAATTCCTTTTTTAATTTTTATTTTTATTTTTTTACCTTAGATAATAAAAGTTCCCAAAGTTAAAGCTACTACGCGTCAATTTAAAGCAAGTAAGATTAAACCAAATCGAAATAGTTTGCAGGAACCGATCAAACACGTGAACCATGGCAAATATGAAATTCATTCCGATACTTCACCTACTTATCTTCTCATTAATTGTTTCTTGTATGCAACTTCCCAAAGAGAAAAAACACAACTATATCAAAAACAATAGTTGTTACCTCACTGTTAGTTGATAACCAAATCAATCTATTCTGTCGTTTTTTTCACTCATTCATCATATCATACATTGATTTATCATCTCTACGTATAAACTTAAATGTATACTAGTTTGAATTCCTCCCCTATGTCACCGTTTTCTTCGTTCATTTTAACGTGAGCTGCCACTACCCAAAAAAAACACACAAAACTCGTCATTTCTTGAAGCTATCTCGTTTGTTGTGGTACGATGCGTTCTGGCATAACCGTTTCTTTTTAACCTGTTCGAGACTCCACTATTCACCACACACACGCACACATGAAAAAAGATATTGCAGTAGAATGAAAAAGAAACAGCCGTAGCAGAAACATCCGAACCCAGAATTTCTATCTGGTTTTCATCGCTTTACGCAATATGCTTTTTCTTTTTCTTTTTCTGTGTCTCGTGGCGCTGGTCCAGTACACACAAACACGGCGGTTCTCATTGGGGGTTCCACTGTTTGAAAAGTGGAAGTTGATTCCAATTAGTGGAAGCTGCCATTGTATTTTACATCATTTCGAATTTCGAAAACATCTAAGTGAATAAATTTTGGGTTTTGCGCTAAATTTTGGTGAAAATGCAATTTATATACCTAATGATGCACTAGTAAGAGACGTTCAATTGATTGCATATCCTACGATATTATGTTATGTTAGGCTTTATCTTATACTTTCGATTAACTAACTAACTGCTGTTTCTGGTATTATTTATTATCTATCACTAGGTATCTGCCATAATAACAAGAATAATATACAATCTCTCACAATGAATGAATGAATGAATGCGTGGATGGGTAAAACTCTCTCAATGCGTCCATAAAATTTGTAGCACCTACTATTTTCGATTTATGTTATTTCAAACTTTCTTCTTGTTGAACTCTCTCTTTCTCTCTCGCTCTTCTCAATGCTTTTTGCTGAGAGGTATTATTAAAACTTATGCTCCAGTAGTAGGTAACTTTGCTTTGGAATAAAAAATATTAAATTAGAGAAACAAAATAAAATAAAACGAAAAAAAATATTGGAAATAGGTTATCAGGATATGAATTTTACTCTGTACACCAATTTCTTATACAATTTTATTTTATTTCTCAAATTTAATATTTTTTTATTCCTTTTCAACTAATTTAGTACTCATTCTTTCTCATCATCATCACATTATCATGTTGTCCTAGTTCATTCCCTTAGCAGACATTATCGAATATATTTCTATCTTCTACAAGCTATCTTATACAATGTTTCAATATTGTTTTCAAATATACGTACTTGAAAAAGAAAAAAATTTTCTGGTGAATACCTACCTAAACCAAAACCCAAAAAAAAAAATAAAACCCAAAATTTTGAACTTCCCAAACTATATATATATATAGTCAGATAAATCAACTTCAATTGATTATCAATTATGTATATCTTCCAATTTTGCTATTTAAGCCCTTTCTTTTACTATATATTTCTTCTTCTTGCACTTATCTTTTTCACTTTATACTTATTTCTATTCCTAGATCCCCAGAGAAACATCCCATCTCAGAAATATACATCATGATGCAATCTAGATTAGGTAGATTGACTACTTTGTCCTGTGACACTAACAACCAATTGAGAAGAACTGCCATCATTGGTACCATTGGTCCAAAGACCAACAACCCAGAAACCTTGGTTGCTTTGAGAAAGGCTGGTTTGAACGTTGTTAGAATGAACTTCTCTCACGGTTCTTACGAATACCACCAATCTGTCATTGACAACGCCAGAAAATCTGAAGAATTATACCCAGGTAGACCATTGGCTATTGCTTTAGACACCAAGGGTCCAGAAATCAGAATGGGTACCCCGTCAAGAAGTTGGCTTCCCATCCCACCCAAACCCGGAATGATTTTCCCTACCGATGACAAAATTGCCAAGGCTTGGGATGACAAGATCATTTTCGTCGACTACAAGAACATCCCCAAGGTTATCTCCAAGGGTAAGATCATCTACGTCGATGACGGTGTTTTGTCTTTCGAAGTTTTGGAAGTCGTTGACAACCAAACCTTGAAGGTTAAGTCCATGAACGCTGGTAAGATCTGTTCCCACAAGGGTGTTAACTTACCAGGTACCGATGTCGATTTACCAGCTTTGTCTGAAAAGGACGCTGCTGATTTGAAATTCGGTGTCAAGAACGGTGTTCACATGGTCTTCGCTTCTTTCATCAGAACCGCTCAAGATGTCTTACACATCAGAGAAGTTTTAGGTGAAGAAGGTAAGGACATCAAGATCATCTGTAAGATTGAAAACCAACAAGGTGTTAACAACTTCGATGAAATCTTGAAGGTCACTGACGGTGTTATGGTTGCTAGAGGTGATTTAGGTATTGAAATCCCAGCTCCAGAAGTCTTAGCTGTCCAAAAGAAATTGATTGCTAAGTGTAACTTGGCCGGTAAGCCAGTTATCTGTGCTACCCAAATGTTGGAATCTATGACTTACAACCCAAGACCAACCAGAGCTGAAGTTTCTGATGTCGGTAACGCTATCTTGGATGGTGCTGACTGTGTCATGTTGTCCGGTGAAACCGCTAAAGGTAACTACCCAATTAACGCTGTTACCACCATGGCTGAAACTGCTTTGATTGCTGAATTAGCCATCGCTTACTTGCCAAACTACGATGACTTGAGAAACTGTACTCCAAAGCCAACTTCTACCACTGAAACTGTTGCTGCTTCCGCTGTCGCTGCTGTTTTCGAACAAAAGGCTAAGGCTATCATTGTCTTGTCTACCTCCGGTACTACCGCCAGATTGGTTTCTAAGTACAGACCAGACTGTCCAATTATCTTGGTTACCAGAAACCCAAGAGCTGCTAGATTCTCTCACTTGTACAGAGGTGTCTTCCCATTCGTCTTCGAAAAGGCTGAAGGTTCTGACTGGACTCAAGATGTTGACGAACGTTTGAAGTTCGGTATGCAAAAGGCTAAGGACATGGGTGTCTTGGCTGACGGTGATGCTGTTGTTACCGTTCAAGGTTTCAAGAGTGGTGAAGGTCACTCTAACACCATGAGAGTTACCATTGTTTAAACAACTCAAAGCTATTAAAGATCTATTCAATTTTTTTAGTGTTTACTTTTGTTAACTTCTCAATTATATAAGTAAGAAATGAGTTTATGAAATGCATTTTTTCCTTAAGTATAACTTTACATAATTTTAAATAAGATGTATATTGTAAAGTAATAGAACATTTATAGAAGCTCCTCCTGTCTTATTACAATCTCTTCATTATGGCGTTAAAGTATATAATTATATTTATTACAAGTTGTCGTCTAATCAGAATTTCAAATATTGAATTCAATATTCAATTTCCTTTCAGTTTGGAAAGTATGTTTATTCTTATTCAGAATTGGGATCATTCTATTCAATAGAACCTGTTCCCACTGTTGAAATCCAGTTTCAACTGAGTTATTGTATACATTCAGAGTTTCATTTGTTGAATTTAAATTAAGTTGATTTGAAACCAATTCAACCAAACTTAAAACCATATGGATCCGGTTTGTATTTGCTAATTTGATGAGGTATTTTTCGAACAATTTTACATCTTTTACATGAGGTCCTGCATCATTTAGTGTCGCATTTATCCAATTTGTTACTAGTTTTGATATTTTTTTAAAAGAAGTCTCGCCTTGGAAACTGATTTGTTTGAATATAGAGTCTTTACCTTGGAAATGAAATTTACTCTGTCTAAAATTATTCTCTCTTTTTCTGGCAGATTCCTTTACATCATCCAATTTGGAATGCTTTGCCTTTTTAATAATTGTCAAGTCATGAATTACTTCCTTACGAATTTGAGTTGGAAGTTCTTGAATAAATTTCTCTTCTTCTTTTGTAGGAGAGAACTTCTTATCAATTTGTTTCTTCGGTTGTAAAGATCCTGTTCTCGATGAAAATATGGCAATTTCTCTTTTATTTAGTTCTTTTCTAATAGTAGGCTTTAATTTCTCGGGAATTTTGTTAAAAGTATCATCAACAATAATTTTCTTAAAGGGAAGTTTCAATCTATAGTCAACATCATTAGTATCAATCAACTTATTAAACTGAATAGATACACCTCTCAATTCTGTTGGCGGACAACTTAACATTCTAAATAAGCTTTTAACTTCAGTTGCAATTATTCCTATATCAGATGTAGGGAGACCTAATTTACTATTCTTACTAAAAGAATCACAGAGCCCCATACCCATATATTTTAAAGGATTCTCTGGCGCTGACTTTGCCTTTCTTGAAATCTTTAGAGTTACTTGGTCAATTTTAGAGTTCATATTAATTAATTTATCAACAAGATATTTGGCACACCTATCGATAAAAACATCAACCTGGCCAATATTTTCGAATCTAATACCCCAGTTTATTTCCATAGATAACGATTTTCTTTTGAAAACTTCATCAGGATCATATATCATTTTAGTGCTCTCATTATCATCCAAACCTTTTAATGCTAAATTAAGTTTTTCACTTGTCTTATTACCAAGTATATTTTTCAAATCATTATTAATTACCAATTGCTGCAGGTTATACAATGAATTTTGATCTTTTATATTGAACTGTTCATCCAATTTATTTAGAGTTGCATTTCCAAAACCTGGTAGGTCAGTAATCTTAAATTTTTTCCAAAATTCAACATTATTTGCTATGTCAGAATTTGAGTTTACGACATAATATCCATCTGGTTTACCCAATCTTAATGCCAACCTTGCAAGTATTAGTGATTCAGCACAACCAATACTTACTGTACACCCACCTGTTTCTTGGTGAACCAGATTTCGTATAGTTTCACATACTCCATTGAGGTCAATGAAAGGATCTGGATTTGATATAACACATATAGCTTCATCAATTGAAATTGGTAGGATTAATTGGAAAAGTTCAAGTTCTTTAAGAACATTGTAAAATATTTTTGATTTCAATTCAATTTGCTCAAAATTATAAGGCAAACATATTAATTTCATTCCCTTTGGACATAATTTTTCAGCTCTCGATACCCACATACCATTTTTGATACCTAAATTTCTTGCAACATAATTGCAACTAGCAATGTCAGAATTTTTTGAACCATGGCAAACCAATATCGCATCTTTATTAATATCTATAGCCATATCTGTCACTGATAATGCAGCAACAGTAGCAAAGAAACAGTCAAAATCTACATGAAATATTTTCAATGTATCCTCTTTTTGAATCTTTCTCCTGGTATTTGAAGATAACAAATCTTGAACAAAATTGGACCTTAATTCAGATTTCCAAGTGGATAAATGATGAAGACGTGAATTTTTAAAATAATTTTCAATAAAACTTGGATCATTACAATTTATGACACTACTTGTATCTCCATTTTTAATCTCTAAGTTTTTAAGTTTTAATTTTGATTGACCAAAATTAACATCAGATACCAAAGAATATTCTTGCCATGGTAAAAGTTTACCAGCATTAATTGAGTTCATAATCCAATCAGGATTAACAACCTTATAATTTGCATATTCTAATTTCTTTTTCAATGGTAACTTAGAAGCTACAATATGAGTTGCACTACCTTTTGCAGATAAGAAATGCAAGAATTTACCACCATGAATCACAATTAGCTCATGCAATTTTAATCTATCTGGATTTGTATGACCATTTATGTAGATAGTACAATTTTCAAAGATTTTTAATTTATCTTTATTATTATTTAATAAAATCTTATCTTGCTTTGCTTGTTTTGCCCTTTTATCTCTAAAATAATCACCTCTGGTGTAGTTTTTTCTCTTTGGATTTTGTTTCTTCGATAAATCATCATCATTAGTATTTTTATTTAAATCCATATTTCCAGCATCATCATTAGCATACGTTGTTGTGCCATTTTGCGATATATGTTCCACATATTGTATTAGAGAATCATCATCTAATGAAGATAAGAATGAAATTTTATCATCATCACAATTCATTACAGTACTTATTTATTCTTCTTACTCTCTATATTGACCAATCAATCGAATAAAGGTCAAACTTATCAATAATTTAATGTACTTCTTAAAGTGAGGTTTAACCTAAAAAGACAAAAGAAGCTTCTCAGTCAAGTAGTTGTAGTGATATGTAGGAATATAAAAAAAAATAGGTGTGAAGCCTATAATGGCCATACTACTGATGATTAAAGTGAAATAATCAACGACTGACAAGTGATAGCAGGTAATTAGATGGAAAAAAAAATATTAATATAATTTGAATAGACAATAACCTCAAATTTTGCTGATGTAGTAGTGTAGTTACCAAAAACCAAAAACCAAAAAATCGTTCCTTTGTTAGCCGTTTAACCACAACCTTTTTGAGGTTAAACACAAGTCTCCTATTTATTGTATTGTCTAGACTTTTGTTGATAGATAGAGAGAATATGGTAAAAAGACTCATTCAGCTTTATTGCCCTCTCTCTACCGTTCTTGTCCAACAAATTGGTTCCAACCTAAGATGCTTACAGGAATGAACTATATACAGAGACAAACAAAGAGAGAGACCTGACCTTGTCGTAATGCAATTGAAACAATAACCACTTCAAATTAAACCCACACGACTTCGCCATACCTTCTCAAATAAGTAGTTTCATATGGTTATTATTTCGAATTTCGAAATTCGAAATAATAATATCCATTTCCCCTTTTTAGACCTCTAGTTTCTTCATTTGGCTATAATACTCCTCCTGGCTTTAATCGTTGGAAATTGTTGTTATATCAAAATAGTTCGTTTCGAAACAACGAGTTTACAATTCAACGACTTTTCTTACAAGGTCTCTAATACTACCTTCAATAGAATAGTAGTAACCTTATAGACGTAAGTTTTGGATATTATTTATCAAAATTAATGAATGATTGATATAGTATTGGAAGTTAAGTGACTATAACCTCATTTAAATTCTATTTTAGTTTAATACCTTGACAAACATTGTGAATTTGATAAATATATATATATATATATATTAATTACGTAAAAGTATCTGGTCTGCTACGATATTTTTAATGCTCTACCTTTAAAGGTTTCAATATCAAAATTATTATATATATACATATATACATATACATATATATATAACATTTTGGTTTTACTATTGAATTGGTAGCTTATATATAAATATATATATATAAACATTACATCTTTTATTTGTGTGGAGAAACTTTACAGTTTGAGTTGATTTCATTTTAAATATCCAAAGACTTCAATTGAATTGTCAAATAGATCAATAGGATAGAATTTGTATTGACTAATGAGTGATAATTGTGATTTAACTAATATTAAAAGAATTGAAGAATCAATGCCTTCTTTGGATTCATGGACAGTGCCCACAAATTGCAATGGAAAGAATATTTTCAAAAATAAACAGAAGAGAAATAATAGTCCACAGTTGAAAATTAGTGATACTTCTTCATTATCTTCATCTTCTGGTTCTTGGTTTGAGCCTTTAGAAAATATAATATCTTCTGGTTCAAATTCTTCCAATTCTTCACCAAGTGATAATTCAAATGAATTGAATATGAATGATGTTGATATTAAATTAGAATCTAGTATCACTGATGCAAATTCAAATCAATTTTTAATAAATGGATACAATATGAAGAAGGAAAACGATGAAAACTTTCCTGATCTTCCTGATTTTAACACTTTCCTACGTAATGATAATTCAATTGTTGATTTAAATGTAAGTTTGGATAGTAAAAAGAGGAGAGCTCCAAGGAAAAGATTAACTTCTCATCAAAAGCAGGCTCATAATAAAATTGAAAAGAGGTATAGAATAAATATTAATACAAAAATTGCAAAACTCCAACAAATTATACCTTGGGTTGCAAATGAACAAACTGCTTTCGAGGTGAGCGACTCTGCTTCGAAGGGTAAGGGTTCACCTCCTTCTCAAGACGATACCATTTCATTATCCAATGGTGCTAATAATTCTACAAAATTAAATAAAAGTATGATCCTGGAGAAAGCTGTGGATTATATTTTATATCTACAAAATAACGAACGATTATATGAAATGGAAGTTCAGAGACTAAAATCTGAATTGCAATCTTTAAAAAATTGAAACTGGTGTTCAACAAAAGGGAAAAATATACATATACATTTTATTAAAAGACTTTCTACTCGAAAAGTATGAATTCAATAAGGTTAACAAAAAAAAATAGATAATCAAGAGGTTTCAATATTCCTGGATACCCAATATATTTATGCCATTTTTCATTTAATGGGTTTACGACATAACAAAAGCTATATAAGAATCTTCTACTTTTTAATTTTTTTGATATTAAAATTAAAGGTTAGTTAAATTAAACACAACTAACAATATACTAATATACTCTATTTTTTGTATAAAAAAATCATTTAATATTAATTGATAGTTCATTTGGTTTTTATAAAAGTAGAACTCTAACCTCTTGACTTAAAACACTACTACTGTATTCTTCATTACCGACGTTTTGTCCTTCCAATTGAAATCAATTTGATAAGACTATATCTGAATTCTTTTCAATATATACCAATAGGGAATAAATTTTAGACTTAATTTTGGTTGAAATTGACATATAAATCAAACTGTATCTTGTATTCCAATTCCGT